ACATATATATATATATATTTGTGAATTTGATTTTTCTTTTAGTGTTTTTAATTAGGGGAAACATAACACCACTATTGGGAGCAAGAGTCAACCTCAATGTCTTAAAGTCTTCACTGGACCAAATCATGTTACATCGTTTGAGAGGAGTCAACAAAATTTCTTCCCAATCGCCTGTTTGGGTTTAGTCTTTTGAAAGATAGGTTTAGTAATTTTACCCTTCTCTCTTGTTTGATTAGTCGGATGACTCATCGCCGTTAAATAGTTAACTAACATTGTTTCGATATATGTTGATTTTGGCGGATTTCATATAATTTAAGTTGGGAATTTGATTTTTTGTAAGTTTAAATTGCTATTTACCGGGTCTCATAATACCGCCAGCAAATAGTTTGGGTTACCTTTTGCTATTTTCTCGCATATAATTTGTTAAAAGTGAATTATTTGAGGAGAATGTATTATATATACATGAGTCATGACTCATGACCATGAGAAAATGATTTGTATGCCACGGACGTGACTACTGAAAACAGCAAGAAGTTACTAGGTAATGAGAAGATGGCAACGAAAACAAAACTTACTTAGAAATTTCTTAATTCTTCTTTTGCTAGTCCAAAACACAGTGTGCATTTACATGTATTGTCGAATTGATCATTTGTTGTTATGTGGCCAAAGTATTAGCCAGAACAACCCATAGTCAATTGTTTTATATGATTGATTACGATTGTTACATATAATGTAGCTATTTTGCAGCCCAATTTGAGTTATATATTTGGACCCTAATTTCCCATCATTGTAAATGCCAATGTACACATATTTTAATTTAAAACAGTTTAAGGTAAATATTTATATTTAATATGGGGTTTTATGAATATTCTGTTTTACTATAGATTAGACCAAAAAAAGTTTATGTACATTTTTATATGTGTGCAAAAACTTAATATAATTACATTGTTTGCATATAGACGAGACAAAAAAAAAGTATATAATTTATGTAATTTTTAATATGTGTGCATAAAAAATGAAATTATTACTTAATATGATTTTTTTTTCTAATAATGATTAGTTGTTGTTTTAATGTTAAAGTCTCGAGGGTCATTTCAATATAATGAACATAACCAATAAATATATTACCATGTGATACCCATTAATATGACCATCATGATTGTAATTATTATGATGTTAACGCTTGCTCAAAAAAACCCAAAATAGAGATATTATTTTCCTTGTTTACTTCTATATCCAGTGAATGTTCATGTTTCTTTTTCTTCCTTTTTCATTTCCTGGAAAAGTGGGCATTAATTAACTCTTTTATCAACCCAGAAAAATTACTCTTTCAAATTGTTTTATAAAAATAAATTGTTTAAAATCACAGAATGTATAACAAAGATTTAATATAATTGAATTACTACGTAGTTTCTACAAAATATTTTTTATCTTTAAAAAAATTTGAAACAAGCAAGGATAGAAACCTCAGAATTTTTATTTTTTTTTTACATTAAAGAGAATGATACATGTAAGCAAATTATCAGAAACAATAAAAAGATAAAACTTATTTTTTAAACGATTTTCATACTTCAAATTTATACTCCTCTAATTGTTTTGTTAAGATGGAGGTCTCCCACACTCGAACATGTTAATATCCTGTTCTAATTTATTTTAATAAATAAATAATTTCTTAATTAATTTTATAATTCATTAATAATATTTTATAATTCATTATGTAGTAATTAAATACGCATAAAACAATAACAATTCAATTAAACTAAAAATGTTCAATACTTTTTTTTTTAACTTTTTATTATTATTCAATTCTAATTACGAAAAAAAATTCCTAAGTAATTGTATGGTCAATCTTAATTTGGCTTAATCGATCTAGTTCATCTCCCAACATATTATAACCCAAATTTAGATAAAAATAGCCAGAAAGTTGATTGACTAAAGTAAAAGCATTCTAGGAAGAATTTTATATTGAAATATGTAAACCTTAAAGGCTATATACATTATCAGAATTATATGGTTATTTGCTTTATCTCTGAACTATCTCTAAGATATGGCTTTGCAAATTTCGACTAACTACCGTCAAAATGATTTCAAAAACAAAAATTATCGAAATAAATTTTAACAATGTATAAAATTACTGAATACATTTTATAACTTTAAAAGCATTTTGAATACATTTCTTTTTATCAAATTTGTGTTTAGTCATATTATAAATATTAAATACAAAAGTGAATTTTGGGAGCCAAGACATGACTGGTGTGGAGGTTCATAATTGAAAAGTGATTCCATAAACTTTTTGTAGATATTGGTGGAAAATGTTTACTTACTAGCTTCTTTTTGCTTTCAATGGAATCCACGTCATATTTGACTCTGTGCGTTTACAAAACACACATATGATACAAATACAATGCATAAATTCTTGAGATCAAATTACATTTTCACATGATTGTAGTCATTTGTTTCTTAAAATTTCACATTATAAACTTACGATAATACATGTTTCCTTCATTTAGACAAAACCAGTGACTTTGTTTGTGTTGAGGGCTGCATGCACATGTTTTCGAAGAAAAAAAAGTTTACCAGAAATGTCTACGTTGACCACTTTCTCTGTAAAGCTAGATTGTATATGTGAATTTTAATAATATCACCTTATATTATAATAACAACCATAAATTTAGTTTATAAATTCCAAATGAGATCTTATGATCTTTTCTTTTTGTTAAAGAGATCTTCCGATCATATAATAACATATCATAAGTTGTCCAAAACAAAAAACATATATATCCTACAAACTTGTAATATAAGTAGAAAGATCCAAGAAGAAATGGTTCACGTCTAAATGATCATCATGAACGAACTTGAGACGGTAGCTATTTTTCAATATTTCTTATACTATAAACTAGAATATCTTAAGATGAGAAAAAGTAAAACTAAAGCAATGTGAAACAGTGCAAGTCCACTTAGATTATAAAAAAAAAAATACGACACTGCCTAGATCTTTTGTAACCTCGATTTATTTAAATATAGAAATCAAGAATCACGTCCAAATATATGCATAATATCCCTTGAAATGTACTTAGTACTCTTCTCAAATGCTCGTTTTAAGAATCAATTATAAATTTGCTATTTTCATGATGGGATTTATAGATTTTGCCATTTTATCTAAAATTTTATGTATTTATTATTTTTAAGCTATAAAAATATGATTAATATATGTTTTACCTATTATTTTTGAGTTTAATCGATTCCATTTGGTTTTAAAGTTTAACACTCTCTTGGATTCTAAAAAGTTGATGCTTTGGGTTTTTTCACACATATTAAAATAAAATTAATTATTTATTTATAAATTAAATTTTGATAAAAAGAGAAAATATAAATCATTAGATAACTGTCACGTAAAGAAAAACATAGAGTAAAATTTTAGTTTTAACTTTTTAATCTACAAAATCAATCTTTTAGAAACAAAAAAAAATTATAAAACATCATACAATGTGAAACAGAGAAAGTATTTGTTATAAAATATGTATTTTAACAAAAATATTGGTAAAAAACAAAAATTAAGTGTTCAAAAATGAAAAATTCACAAGATTTTAGCAATAATGTTATCTTCGTAAAATTTACCTTATAAATTGGCATTGTTCGTAAGAATCTCTTGTTTTGCTCAAGAAATAGAAATAAGTGAGAACATTACGAGTAGTCGTATCACACAATTCAGAGTCCTATTTTCTTAAAAAAAAATATAAGAGTATTTTTTGTTTGTGTGAGTTGATAGCTTTAAGCCCCAATATTGATAGAGAGATTCTTATTTTTGTCGTAGGTCTTTGATCTAATGTCCAAAATTTTCTACGAAGACAATAATGAAAATGCATATACGTTACAAAAACATGGCAAGAAAACTAAATGCAAATAGCATTCTTCTCGGTATAGACTTTTATGTAGTGTGAAATGGTTGTAAATGTCAAAGACATTATAAACTTGTTTCGTCTTTGTGTAAAAGACAAGAAAAATGCTGTTGTATCCATTGACAACACGAAAGAAGAAAACAAACATACTCCAAGAAATTGAGACCCAGCAAGTACGTAAACTACGGTATTGGTCACTGCACCAAACCCTTGAGATGCTATTGTTTGGTACTTACTTAGTAGGAACAGTAAATAAATAGTTCTATCACTGTAATAACTATTTAGAAAAAGAAAAAAACTTTTGTTGAAAACAGATTTTTAATTTTTTGGTTGTATTTAGCAATCTAAAGTTATACTATTTCATTTCTTATCTTTAACTAACCTTTATCTTATTTAATTTTACAAATTATTCCGCGAATACCGGTCCAAAATAGAAACGGATTACATAAATAAGTATGAATCACTTATTGCTTTATTAATATGGACATTAATTTTCTTACAGTATATATTTTGTTTTTAGTGCTAGCATTTTTTTTTAGAACTTAAAATTATTAGAGGATTTGGATACTAAATGTGGAAGTTACCACCATTTTATGGTTTTTAAAACTACAATTTGTTTTAAATTGGAATGTCCATTTCATTAGTCTACTATGTAGTGCAATCATCTAAACCTTCACAATATTATTATTATAATTTCTAAATATTCAAAAATAATAAATCTATAAAAATTTAGAAAAAATGACAAAACTAAAAATAACAGTTTCTTGTAATTAATTCCGTTACAAAAAACGGTAAATTAAATGTTTTACTTGTAAAGTCTACGATTTAGGATTATTTTGTTTGTAATTTTTAAAGAAATTTGGGTATAATTGATACACATCTACAATTTACTAAAATAATCCTGGTATAATAAGTGATATCCAGTTATATTATAGTACAGTTTATTAATAAATTAATAAACCCTAATGAATTAATATTAAAAGAAAAAAATGAAAACAATAATAGAAAATTTTGGGTGGGGTTATCAACTTTTGTAGAATATATTGGATACTGAAGGTAAAAAGATGTTGAAAGCTCTCTATATGACAGGCACATCCATAAAGCAGTCCATGAAGTTTCTTCACTACTTTTATAACTCTCCTCTCTTACTTACTCCTCTCCACTTAACCCATCTCTCTCTGTTCTTCTCTGTTTTGCTCTCTCCTCACACTTGTTTACATAATCTAAACATCTCTTAGTTTAGCTTCAGTTTTAGTAAGGAACATGGACCAAAGCAATGCTCTTCTTAGCTGGGCTTACTTCTCTCATGGAAAGGTATAGACTTTTTTTCTCTGTATCCTCTGTTTCCTCTGTTTTCTTGCATTGTGTCCACTGTTTTGCTTAGATCTACGCATAATGTGTGTCCAAAATCATGAATTTCTTGTGTCTTCTTCTTTGTTTGTGTATTAAAAACCGAACCTTTAACCAAAGTCAAGTTTCATACTCTGTAACTGGGTTACTCGAATTACACTTGGAATTTTATACATTCATCAATTTCTTAGCTTGATTCTGTATAATGGGTGTTCTTAATCTTAGTTTTTTAGCTTAAATTTCACATTTTTGTGTGTAAATTAGTCGGAAAAGACAAGACTTTGAAGAAATTTTGCTTAATTTGTGACCAAAAGCTCTAATTTTGATATGAATCTGCATGTTCTGTTTGTAAATTAGATGTAAAAAAGACGAGATTTTTGGGAAACTTGGGTGTCTCTGCGCTTGTCATTTGTAGCCAAAAGCCCTAATTGTGATATGAATCTGTAAATGAAAGCTCAAATTTTTAGTGGTTTTCTCTGTTTCTCTGTCTGATTGTTTTGTGTTTCTCTGTTGATTTGTTTAGACAACGGAAGAGTTAAGACAGACTCTTGTGTACACTACACTAGAGCTAGAACAAACGAAGCTCGTGGCTCAAGAGGAACTAAGGAAGAGAGATGAACAATTAATCCATCTTGAAGATGTTTTAACCAAAACCCTCAAAGAAAGAGACGAAGCGTTAGAGAAATGTCATCATCTCATCATCAACAATCTCTTGCTTCAACAGAAACAACATCAGAATCAGAAACAAGAACTTATCACTCCTCCTTTATCTGGAGCTTCAAGTATTATTGAAGACGAGCAAGTTCAGCCTCAGCCTCAGCTTAACTCCAACAAGAGCTTTTCGTCTTCAGACACCGAAGAGAGCATAATGTCACCATCAGTAATCGATCCGGTGATGATGAACCAACAACAAATTGAAGTCTCAGGAGATGAGATGATGGCTACATTGTTACCTGAAAAGCCACTTCCTGAAAAGGGAAAACTCTTACAAGCTGTTATCAAGGCTGGTCCTTTGCTTCAGACACTTCTCTTAGCCGGTCCTTTACCTCAATGGCGTCATCCTCCACCACCACTTGAGACCTCTGAGATCCCTCCAGTCACCATCCCACCACCTCAGTTTCAGAACAATGGTTGTGGTAACACCAACAAGAAAAGGGCATTCTCAATCTCAGATGAAACATACTCAGAAACTAAGTATCAGAAAGTTCTTCTCCATTAACAAGAAACTACGCCGGATCGAGCTGCTACTGATCTATTTTTCTCCTTACTCAACAAAAGTACTAATATATAGTCTTCTAATATACCAATACACAGATCACTTTCAGTATTAGGGTTCTAGTGAGAGTGATCTTTTTTAGTCAGTTTGTTGTAGATAGAGCTTGATTTTAAAGTTTGTGAGGAGAGTGTGAATCTGATCCATTTAGGGTTTAGATTTAGAGAGTGATGGGAATGAAACTCCCCTGGTTTAACTCAAAAACTCAAACTTGAGTTTTTTTTTTTTACCAAGTGTGAGAGTTTTGCTTATTTGCTTTTCTTTTTGTTTTGCTGATTGATTTGTTTTGTTTCCTAAACCCAATTACACATCCATGTTTTGGCTCCATGAATGTAAAACTATTGGGATGTTTTGTTTTTTTCCAATTTGTTATCATCTATGTTCATTTCCCTTGGTGTAAAATACTAAAGATTTATTGGAGATTTATACTAGTGAAATGGAATATGATGTCTATGATTGGCTTAAGATGTCTATATTTTGTCTTGTGATTTGGAAACTTCAAAAGTATATTGACAACAAAAAAGTTTAATTTAAGGTATGTTAATGCAATGTTAAATAATTGCTTTTTTTCAATGGAGATGGGTGAGAAGTGGGAACCAAAAAGTCGAAGGGTAAGCCAACCACCAAAAAGGATTTGATGTTTTTTTTTTTGGTTGGGTCCTGAAGATCTAAAACCAGATCTTCTGTCTATTAGCATGGGCCTCTCCTAATTTATTTTTTGTTGTTGTTTAATTAAGTTTCTCCCATTTGGTCATTCAAAAAGATTCATCCAAGATTCTTGTTTATTTATGATATTAAGAGAGTCTAAGAGCAACATTATCAATAGGCTAAATTTTGTTTTTAGGAATAGTTTATTTTTAAATTAGGAAAATTAAGAGTTAAGAGTTGTATTTTTGTTTTTAGTTTTTAGGTAACTTTAATGGTAGGCTCTTAATTTGGGGTTTTTAGGAAAACAATATATTGATTTAAAAATAAAATAAAAATAAAAATTGTAATTTTAGAAAAGTTAATAATTATTGTAAATGAGAAATTTTAAAACATACATGAGGTATTTAAAATATAAATAACTTAAAGCACAATAGTTTTACACTTGATTTATAAAAAAATTTGTCCATATATGATCGACCAAATCCTTTTTCAATTGCTGATGCATAGCTCGATCACGAAATCGAGTTCTATTAGCCATCATATCAACAAAATTTGAAGGCATTTTGTAGAATATGTGAAAGCCACCCGTGTATATCTGGCAGATTCCGCTTGTTCGAATTCAGTGACATCAAACTGAGTATACATATCTCGTTCATCTTCTACTATCATATTTCTGAAGTACTATACATGCTTGCATAATCTTTTCAATTTTATTAATTTAAAATATGGCTAAGAGACCACCATTAATCTTGTTAACGGTAGACTTATGATATTCCAAAATCATGTTCAAATACGGATATAAATCGATTATCGAAATTTAGATTCGTTATATATCTTACTTGTTTTGAGTTGGTTAGTTTCCTAGAAACCGATTTTTCGGATGATAGATAGACATATAATATTTCGACAGTGTTTTGTATTTTTGTAAGATTTTTTTAATGTTTAAAATAATAAATAAACCGCGGAATTTGATTATAAATAGAACAACAAATAGTGAGATAGAATCTTATTAACAAATATAACTTATTTATCAATCAGTGGAGAAAAATTTGTTCAAGATTAGGATAATTACATACAAAAATATATTTGTATATGTATAATTTAGGAACGAAGTGCTCAAGGAAATCTACATGCGTACCATCATAAGTATTGCGAGGGTCATTTCACTTGTGCTAATTGTAGTATCATATGCTATTATGCTTCAAAAAACTCAATAACTTACTCTTATGTAATGCAATTTAATAATATATATTCATGTACTAATGGTTATGATTAATCATACTTAAGGGAAAAGTTAAGAGTGGTTATATTATATTAGATTGTATAGTCTCTATTCAATTGGTCTTTACCTTAAAGCAAAAGGCCAAATAACTTGGTGTTGCTTACAAATTATTTCAGGACTACTAAATTACTTTTTTTTTCTTTTCTTTCTTTTTTCAGACAAGAAAAATTTCGATTGTACGAGAAAATCTTGTTTTTTTCTTTTCGTTTAATGCCCTACAAGTCATGATTATACTTATTTTATTCTTTTACTAACACATTAACGAAGCTTACCAATGGGAAAATGATACTCATATAAGTGCGTATGTGTATATGTATAATATTTTTTATGTTTTTACAAACTAATACGTTTTAGCAAAAAAAAATTAAATTATTTTCCTCACTTTTCTAATAATTCATTTTTTATAATAAATATTATTTAAGTACAAAAAATGATTTATTAGAAAACTGAGGAAAATATTTTAATTTTTAAAATTAACTATTTTCCTTATGAATGTATATGTTACATTGTTACTAAACTTTAGAAGAATTTATATGTGACTGTTCTTAAGAATATAGTATTATCTGTCGTTCATAGAAAATCAAAATCTTTAAAGAAGATATACTAGAATCGGATCCGCGCTACAGCGCAGAGGAAAATTATCGAACTATTGTTAATAGGTTTTAATTTACTAAACCTCGACAAAAAAATGATACATATGTATTTCAAAATTTGTTTTTTTACGAATATATCATTTTTATATTATGATTTTGGTAACTAATTTTTCTAATAAGTTTATATTGAATATTATCCAAAAACAATAGTGAGTATGGTTAGTGTATGTAGATGTGTTAAGTAAATGGAGTTGGTTATGGTGAATCATACATGTCTGTAACAGATATATGTTTTGAATGACCAAACTGTAACTAATTGCATTCGTAAAAATATTATTGATTATTCGTTCTACTATATAATTGTGAGTTTAACAAAATAACTCATGAATTTTTGTATAGCTTGATACATTACATAGTTTATCAGTAAAACTTATTTGTATTCTAAATTCGATTTAATTAATATTTGAATAGTATGCTTCGTTAATAAGATTTTGTATGTACCATTGTTAAAATTTGATTTAGTTATGTTCTTAATGACCCGTAAGAATGAATTTTTTTGCATATAATTTATTTTGGTATTATAAAATATTTAATTGTAAAACTTAAGTGGTTTGTATCAGGTTCTGATCCGTTGCAAAAATATTTTGACCCGTTGCATAATATTTTAAATATTCTATAATTTTTTTTTTTTAACACAGATCTGCAATATATTAATAAAGACTAGAATAGTCATTGTTTACAGCATCAAGAATAACAGAAGGGATAGAGTGATGGTAAACAAAATCAGAAATAGAAAAACGTTGAAGTTTTGCAAGACAATCTGCAAGATTGTTGAGCTTTCTAGGAATCCAGTTAAAACGAATATTCTATAATTTTTTATATTTGAATATTTTAAAGATTTCAAAAATATTAAAATATTTTGAAACTTTAAAAAAATTTATATGCTCAAATAAACAACTTAATTAATCCAAACAAAATTTTTAAAATTAAAAGGCCAAAAAGTTAACTTCATGATTATTCATAGTTAGAAATACAATGGTTTCAGGTAGAGACTCAACAATTTAATATGATTCTGCATATTTCTCTTGTGTGGCAAATACAAAAAGACAATGGCTTCACAACAGTTTCAGCGAATACGAGTCACATTAGAAAATGGCACAGGTACTGCTTTGACAGCAGCTTTTTTGGCTTTATCTGGTACTCCAAAAACATTCCAAAACCTCAGAGTCTCGTCCGCTGCTGCTGAAGCTACGGTACAACCATCCGGACTCTGAGCCATGTATAGAACGCGTGATGTATGACCAGTCAGCTCAGCCATTTTCACCATGGATGGGTACTTCCAAAGAGTAAGCTGGTTCTCAGTAAAACCATGTGAGCTAAGCAACTCTCTTTCATTCTTGCTCCATATCAAAGAACAAACTTGAGAGCCAGTTTCTACCGAGTTCAAGCAAGCTCCTGTACTAGTATTCCAGAACTTTATCATCCTATCTCCATCACCGCCACCAGTTGCAAGTAAATTCGTTTGGAAAGGACACCAAGCAAGAGCTTTAACTGCAGATGTGTGTTCCTCAAGCCTGTGCAGCCATTGTGTAGAAGAAGAACGGTCCCATACATGAACCACATTGTCATTTCCACCACTTGCTAAATACTGTCCAGATCCTGACCACTTCAACCCGCAAACTTCTAAAGTGTGACCCCTGTAACTTTGCACAACATGTGATCTAGCTCGTACATCGTTGTTGATGACCTTCCCATCCATTCCTCCCGTTGTTAAGATATGACTGTTCCACGCCAATGATCCTACTCTTTCCTGGTGGCCACCCTTTAACGTTCTCAGTTTACGTTTTGTGACACAATCCCAAATCTGGACTTCAGAGTTGTCAAGCCCAACTGCAAGATTACAACCATCTAGTGCCCAGTTGATACTTGTGACAGGCCCCTTCTCTTCATCAACACTCATAAGCTCAGAAGCAGAACCTGTAGAAGCATCCCACAGATAAACAGTATGATCCAACGCAATGGCTAAAACATTAGCACTGCCCCAGTCAAGCAAGTTAAGATAGAAGTTATCCCCAATGTCAGGTACATCCAACATTCTCTCCCAAGTCTGAGGGATGTATCTACGCGGCTTTAAAGGTTTAGGCTGTTGGTCAAGCCAAGAAACAGAGTGAAGTTTGTGAAGAGATCCCACTGGAGCTTGAGGTTTGTTCCTGAAGGCAAGGATCCGTGAGCGATTCAGATTCATCGTCTCAGCCAATTGTTTCCTGTAGGCTTCTCTTGATGGTGAAGTACTTACCTTTGTTGCCTGGTCTTTCTCGTTTCTTCCTTCGGTAAGCGCATAGTGAGCATAGTCAAAATCCATAGCTGATCTGTTTGGTATAAATCTGTCCCACTGGTGAAAACATACAAAACAAACTCAGTTAGTACAATTCATCATCAAGAAACGATTTTTATGAAACACATCATCAAAGAAACGATTTTTACGACAATTCATCATCAAGTAAAGATTTTTACGACAGTTTATCATCAAGACACGATTTTTATGACAACACATCATCAATAAATCGATATTTACGACAATTCATCATCAAGACACGATTCTTAAGACACAATTCATCATCAAGAAGCGATTTTTACGACACGACAAGGTTTATGACAAAACCAATTGTATGAAAGACTAATGTTTTGACGGAACTGATGTTTTTAAAGCAAAGCAAGTTCGAAACCCTAAATCCTGAAGAACAGAGCAAAACCCACAAAATTCAAAACCCTAAATTTTAAAGATACTTACGTTTTCTTTGGAAGTTTTCTTGGGGAGATAGCTTCGTTGAAGTGGGCATCGAGCTTGCGCCTTCAAGTGTGAAGAAGTGTTCATACCTGAATCCATTATACAAAAATCACAAAAGAAAAAACAACAACGACGATGTATAGCGATTGGTTAACGAAACGGGTTAGAGAAGATCTAAAATTAGAAACGAAACGTAATTAAACAGATCCTGCAGAGAATGAAGCGTTAGTAAAAAAATCGGATCGAGAGAGAGAGAGAAGAGTTGTTTCGTGGCTGATGATATAATGAGAGAGGAGAAACGTAGATTGAATTTGATGGAAAAGGTTATGGAAAACTTTAGGGTTATTTATACGAGATGTTAAATGGGCCGATGATGTATATTGAATCTTAAGGCCCATTAAGTAAGTTGTGTAATAAACAACATTAGGTTTCTTCATTCATTCTTAATATGATGATTAGTTGTAAATATAGAAAATACTAAATCTAGTAATACAAATGCCAGCCCACTTCAAGCCAACTTTTTACCACCAATGTGATCACTAATTTTATTAGTTTATTAGACAAAAAAATAAATAACTTTACAAAGTGTTATCTTGAGAGTTAAGGCAAAAAAATTATAAACTTAGGATAGATTAGAGCAGTTAAAAAATATATTTCAAGAATTTGATCGTAAATTTGGATTACAAGCTATCTAAAACCTCCTAACCTTGGGGTCTCCAGACAGACACTTTAAGCTAATTTAGGGGAAGAAAAAATTGTATCAAATTAAACCTTAGCTTTCACTTTAATTTAGCAAAGCAAATTCTCCATAGAAAAAGTTTTTTGACAGATACTTTACAAAGACCAAAAGAACAAGAAATTAACCTAAACTTCACAAATGGAAAAATCCTTTGAAAACCAAAATTCAAAGACTCAAGAAACATAATTTACACAAAATTTTGATCCCAAATTCTACGGTGTGAATTCATGGACGATACGACTATCTACCTGAGTGGTGATTGCCGTGTATCGTTCTTCAACATCTCTTCTCAAGGATTGTTCGAGAACCTAAATTCGCCTGATGTGATTTTCGAGTACTCGTTGCCTCTCTTGGAGATGCAAATACTAGTTATATTCTTCGCCATTGTCATGTCTCACATGTTCCTCAGACGCTTAGGCATATCCCCGATCGCTTCCTATATGATGGTAAGCATCTTTCCTTGTATGTAACTTGACAAAACACGTACACATAAGAGATTTGTGGTTTTTAGGAAAACAAAACTAGATGTACGTACGTAACTTGACATGCACGTAAATAATGTTTAACGACTATAGAAGAAAGCTTTCTAAAAATGAATTCTTATTACGTAAATTTATGTGCATGCAGGCTGGAATAGTTCTAGGGCCTCAGCTATTCAATGTACTAGAGAGATCTTCAAGAAAATTATCTGTGGATCCTGCCTTGGATGGATCCGCGATGTTAAGAAGCATCTCGGTGTTTGGAACCATAATGTTTACGTTTTTGATGACCGTTAGAACCAGCCGACGAGTGGCCTTCCATAGCGGGAAATTGCCCGTCGTGATCGGGATTGTATCCTTCTTTGTTCCTTTGTTCGGTCTAGGTTTACAAAACCTTTTCTCTGATAGCATTGATCCTCACTACATGCCGCTAGATAAAGCTTTGGGCGAGCGCACTGCGATCATCATAACCCAATCTGCTATACTTTTACCTTCTACAACATATATTTTACTAGAGCTCAAGATACTCAACTCTGAGCTTGGCCGCCTTGCGTTGTCAGCATCTATCATTAACGACATCTTGGGGATATTTTCCATGGTACTCGCTTCTCTTCAGGCGACCTACACGCATGTTTCACATCTAACAGCCTATCGTGACTTTATCGCGGTGATCATCTTCCTTCTCATCGTCTTTCTTGTTTTTAAACCGGCCGTGCAATGGATCATAGACCGCACACCTGAAGACAAGCCCGTGGAGAATATGTACGTTGACGTCGTGATTATAACCGCATTGGCCTCTGCGGCTTATTTTGTGTTCTTTAACATGAAGTACATCTTAGGACCGTTAATGATCGGTCTCATCATACCGGAAGGTCCGCCCTTAGGATCTGCCCTAGAGGCCAAGTACGAGAAGCTCACAATGAACGTGTTCTTACCAATCTCAATCACAGTCAGCGCGATGAGATGTGATGGAATAAGTATCTATAACCAGTTCAATGACATCTTCTTCAACATCTTCTTAACATTCCTAACACTTTTCTTGAAACTAGTCTCATGCTTTGGACCTTCCTTGTACTACAAGCTACCTCTTAATGAATCAATGGCTGTTTCTCTCATCTTGAGCTACAAAAGTTTCCATGATTTTGTTCTCTATGAAGCTGTTTTAGACGACAAGGTAATGTCTTACCCCCACAAACCAATCTATGATTTTTATTTTCCTTCATCTAAAACATATTTTTATCATTTACTTTTGCAGTATATATCGCAAGCCACTTACGCCTTCTTGATCATTTTTTCGCTACTAAACGCTGGGATTGTCCCTATGGTGTTAAGGAGCATGTACGACCCGAAACGAAAGTACGTTAATTATCAGAAGAGGGACATATTGCATCTTGAACCTAACTCCGATCTTCGAATTCTAACTTGTTTGCATAAACCTGAAAACGTCTCGGAGACCATTGCATTTCTCCAATTGTTATCTTCTCCAAACCTAGACTTTCCCATGGCGGTCACAGTTCTTCACCTGGTGAAGCTCGCTGGTCAGATCAACCCAATCATGGTACCACACAACAAGAACTTGAAACGGCTTAACCACAACTCATACATCCATACGGCAAACCTTGCTTTCAGACAGTTCATGCTAGAAAGCTTAGAGTCCGTAACCGTGACAACGTTCACCGCGTTTTCGCATGAGAACTTGATGCACGAAGATATTTGCACACTCGCACTTGACCAGTCTACATCGATGATTGTTCTTCCCTCGGGGAGGAAATGGACCATGGATGGGATGTTTGAGTTTGACGACAATGCCATAAGAAATTTAAACCAGTCATTGCTAGACCGTGCACCTTGTTCTATAGGCATACTAGTGGACCGTGGACAGTTCTCACGGAAAAGCATTGTATCGAGTAAAAAAAAATACAACATTGATGTTGGTGTGATATTCATTGGTGGCAAAGATGACCGAGAGGCACTAGCACTGGTGAAAAAGATGAAACATAACACGAGGGTCAGTGTAACCGTGACCCGACTTGTATTTAAGCAAGAAGCAAAGCCAGATTGGGATTACATTTTGGATAATGAAGGTTTAAAGGATATAAAGGTTCCAGAAGAAAACAATGACATTGTTTATACAGAAAGGATTGTGACCAGTGGTGCTGAGGTAGTCACCGTTGTCCGATCGCTAGCGGAAGTGTACGATCTTATGGTGGTCGGGAGAGATCATGATATGACATCAAAAGAATTGTTAGGACTAATGGAGTGGGTTGAACTACCAGAGTTAGGTGTCATTGGGGATTTGCTTGCAGCTAAAGATCTCAACTCTAATGTTTCGGTTTTAGTTGTTCAACAACAACAACAACAAGTGTGACACGTTTTGACCCATAGGATTGTGCATTCTTGTAGGACTTAATTAGAAGATTTATGTAAAGTAGTCATTCATTTTATTTGTATATTACTATACATTCATAGAAACATTGTGTGAGGTTAGAAAAAAAAAAAAAAAAAAAAAAAGAAACACAAAATTTGTAAAAAAATTACGTTTAGATATTGAATTCAATAGAATAAATAAATACGAAATATTTTCAAATGAGTAAATCAAACTCATTTTATTATTTGTTTTACATAAACATGTTAAAAATAAGCATAAACTAATCTCTAATGGTTTTGTATGTCCCATTTGTTTTGGCTTGTTTTAGCTTTTTCTTGATCTCTTTCTCTTATTCATGTGTTTATAGGTATATCCTAAGAACATGAAAACAAGCAAAACTCATTGATTCCAAAAGCGTCACTGCTTTTGTCGATGTTGGTCTCATTTTTATTCGCTTCCATGTTTTTTATCCTAATTTTTATGCCATGGGACCAAAATATAGGATCTACCTTGTGTAACTCCTAATCGTTTTAACTTTTAATGAAATATTTACATTTTTAGCCAGAAATAAACAAAAGGAACAACTGATATAATTTTTTTTTTTGGATGTGTTTTCTAAATTTAGGATTCCATTTGTTCCAGGAAGATTTTGTTGTCAACATCATATTAAACATAATAAATATTTGTTAAATGTATGGGTGTATGTGTAGGTTTTACAGCTTGTATGTTCTAGAACAAGTCCAAACAGTTTTTGACTATCCAACGAAACTTATCAAAGAACAAAACTAAACAAAATCATCAATTTACACGTTCTTTATAGCATTTTTTGTTTTGTTCTCTTCTTAATTTTTCTGTGTTTTTTTTATACACCAAGTTCTAAAACTGTTCTCATCTCTTGGCAAAAATTTATGAATACAACGACGGCCTATTTCAACGGTTGCATACCCGTAGTGTTCAACATCTCTTCTTATGGATTTTGGGAAAACCTAAACTCGCCAGATGTGATTTTCGAGTATTCATTGCCTCTCATGGAGCTTCAGATATTACTCATCTTCATATTCATCATCATGATTCACATCTTTCTTAGATGCATCGGGACTTCCCCGATTCCTTCGTATATGCTGGTACGTACATACCCTTTGCACATGTTAACGTGACAGTCAAGAAAGAGTAGCATTGAATGTAACTTGACAAGCACGTAAATGCTAATAAACTCATATTATGTTCAGGCTGGTATGATTCTAGGGCCTCAATTGTTCAATCTTAGGGAGATATCATCAGGGAAATTATCTTGGGATCCTGTATTGGATGGAAACGCGCCGTTAAGAGGCCTTTCGGTGTGTGGAAACATTATGCTTGCGTTTTTGATGACAGTTAAAATCAGTCGTCGGTTGGCATTTCACAATGGATCGTTACCTATTGTGATCGGGATCTTGACCTTCATCGTCCCATTCTTTGGTGGCTTGTGTGTGCGGAATCTCTACATGGGGAGTATAGACCCTTACTACTTACCGCATAAGAAAGTAATCGCCGAGCGCACTGTGATCATCTCAAGCCAATCCTCGATTCTCTTGCCCACCATAACCTATTTCCTGTCAGAACTCAAGATCCTTAACTCCGAGCTAGGTCGCCTTGTGTTGTCTGCATCCCTGATCAATGACATCTTGGGGTGTTTCGTCAGCATAGTAGCCTATCTTGGAGGAACGTACAAGAACGTCTCTCCAATGACAGCCTACCGTGACTTAATAGCGGTGATAGTTTTGATTCTTGTAGTCTTTTTCATTCTTAGACCGGTTGTAGAATGGATAGTAGAAAGCACACCAGAAGGTAAACCCGTGGCAGATGTGTATGTACATATTACTGTTTTGAGCGTAATTGGTTCAGCAGCATACTCTTCATTTTTCAATATGAAGTACCTTTTGGGACCATTCTTTATCGGTATTATCATACCTGAAGGTCCACCAATAGGATCCGCTTTGGAAGCAAAGTATGAGGCTCTTACAATGAACGTTCTTATACCGATCTCAATCGCATTCAGCACAATGAGATGCGACGTTATGAAGATCATCTACCAGTTTGATGACATCATATACAACATTTTCTTAATGGTTTTTACTGGCGTTTTGAAAATGGCGGCTTCCATGGTACCTTGCTTGTATTGCAAGGTACCATTCAAGGAGGCCATAGCTGCTTCCCTCCTGTTATGTACCAAAAGCTTCTCTGAAATCTTTCTTTACGAATCAACACTCGACGATTCGGTAAGATCCTATACACTATCCACAATCAATTTCGCTAAGATATTTACATATATTTATATAGTTTTTTATTTTGCAGTATATATCACAAGCAACATATACGTTCTTGATCATTTGTGCGCTTATAAACTCCGGAATTATCCCCACGGCCTTGGAAGGACTGTATGATCCGAAGCAGAAGTACATTGGTTACCAAAAGAGGAGCGTTATGAATCTAAAACCAAACTCAGATCTTAAGATTCTGACTTGTGTACACAAACCTGAGAACATCTCTATGGCCATTTCATTTCTCCAATTATTCCCCTCCACCATCATGGTCACAGTTCTCCACCTCGTGAAGCTAGTAGGCAAAATCGTCCCAGTCCTAATCTCGCATAACAAGAAAACAAAACAGCTAGTGAATAACTCATACATCCTAACCGCAAACCTTGCCTTCAGCCAGTTGGAGTCAGTGACCATGGCCATGTTCACTGCCCTCACGCACGAGAACCTTATGCACGATGAAATCTGCAAGCTCGCGTTGGAACAAGCCACGTCCATGATTATCATCCCGTCGGGGAGGAAATGGGCTATAGATGGGACGTTTGAGTCAGAGGACGAAGCCATGAGACGTTTAAATGAGTCGTTACTCAAGAACGCTCCTTGTTCTATCGGAATACTCATGGACCGTGGACAGTTCTCATGCAAAGGCACGAAAAGGTACCACATCAATGTTGGTTTGATCTTCATTGGAGGCAAAGACGACCGCGAGGCACTATCACTAGTAAAAAAGATGAAGCATAACCCTAGAGTCAAAGTCACTGTGATCCGACTCATCTCTAACCAAGAAATAGAAACGACTAATTGGGATTACATTCTTGACCACGAAGTCTTAGAGGAACTTATAAATACAGAAGCTAGTAACTGTATTGCATATACGGAGAGGATTGTGACCGGTGGTCCTGAAGTAGCCACCATGGTTAGGTTACTCTCCGAGGAGTATGATCTTATGGTGCTTGGAAGAGATCACGGCACGGCTACACCGGACTTTGATGGAGTCAAGGAGTGGATTGAACTCCCGGAGTTAGGTGTTATCGGAGATTTGCTAGCGGCTAAAGATCTTGACTCTAGGGTTTCTGTTTTGGTAGTTCAACAACAACAACAACAACAAATGTGAAAGTATATTAGAGGAGTGTTCATACATTTAATTATTCTTTTAATGAATTTTCACGTGTACAAAGCATAATTAATATTTTTCTAATCATGTATCTTGAGAATTACAAGATTAATCTATGTTTTGCTTTACACATTTATATTTTGTTATTTTGAATGTTAATTAATTGTTTTAGTTACAAAAATTTGTATTCTATTTGTGACTTAAGGGAGAGAGACTGAAAAGAAGAGAGAAATGGAAAAATAAACATTTAAACTGTTTAGGTCAATTTTATTTTCTTACAAAAATTAATTTTGGTAATTTTTTTTTTGTTTTTATGCGCAATAATAAAAAAAAAACCTCTGCTGTTAATTTACAATGATTATTTACAATTTGTATGGGATGTTTGAGAACCCAAAATTAAGCGCAAGAACATAATTTTCTTAATTTTTGTTATGAAATACTTGATATCTATTTTTCTCATCATAAATTTGGAAGGAAAATTTTCAAAGTATTCACAAAAAAAAATTTATGTCAAGCTTTTCAAATAATTCACAAAAATTTTGTTATCTCAAGATAAAAAAAATTGAATATATACAACATCCAAGAACATTGTAATCATTACTTGTATCTCAAGAAAAGTATGTATTTCTAACATTACAAGGGATTCAGAACTATGTATATGTGTCTTTGCAGTTCCCAAAAGTCCTAATGAAGCCTTTGTCGCCATTTCCAGCTGATCCATCGATGTTTCTGTCCCAAGAAACACTTTTTTTAATTTTGTTAGCTTCTGATTTCTTAAAACCCTAAATCATCTGTTGTTGCTGTTGTATAACCAGTACAGAAGCTTGGCAATTAAGATCTTTTGAAGTCAAGAGATCTCCAATGACACCAAGTTCCTCGAACTCACTCCATTCTTCAAGCCCGTCCGTGAAAGGACTCTTTCTTCCTTTCTCTCTTCCAACGATGAACAGGTCGTACTCATTTGCAATAGACTTCAACAGTTCTGATGTCTGAGACGCGTCATTCACTACTTCCTCGGTGAAGATAAGGTCAGCACCGGCTAGAACGTTGCTCTTCACATCTCTGAGCAGTTCTAAATCGAGCATTCGATCCCAATCGGTGATTTGTTTGGCTTTCTGATCGGAAGAGATGAGAGAAACGACTGTGATGTTGATTCTTGAGTCACAAGCCATTCTTCTAGCGAGTGTTAAAGCTTCTCTATCGTCTTTACCTCCAAGGAAGAGCATACATACTTCGTAAGATGAGAAGTTTGCAGATGTTTCTTTGATTGTTCTTCGGCCATTATTGCTTCGGTAAACAAAGATTCCGACAGAACAAGGAGATAGGTCGAGGACACTCTTGTTCAGTTTCCGGATCATCTTGCTGTCTGAAACAATGGCTAAACCATTAGCAGACCAAGTCTGGTGAAATGGAAGGATGATGAGAGACGTTGTGTTGTTGAGAGCTAGCATACAAATGTCTCCGTGCATCATCTTAGGTATAGATAAAGCCGTGTACGTGCTAACGAAAACAGAGCCGAAAAAATCTTTCCGGAACTGTTCGAATGAGACAACGACGTTTTCAGAGTTATAAGACGTGTTCTCGCTTTTACGGGTTTGTAATCTGTGAGAGATGAGGACTGGATTGGCTTGTCCCACTAGTTCCATCAAGTGAAGAACGTAAGTAGCTACCGGGTTTTCTCTTGAGGGACAAGTAGCTTCAAGAAGATTGATCATTGGACGGATATCATCTGTTCTGTAGATACAAGATAGAATCCTAAGCTCGGAGTTTTGTTTCATGTGAAGCATGTTCCGTTTCTCGTATCCTGCGTACATCCTCGAAGGATCGTATATGCGTCTCAGTAGTGGAGGTATGATTGCGGAGTTCAGCAAGATGTAAAGAGATAAAACTGTAAATGTCATTGGCCTAAGATTCTGCAATGAAAATGCAAGTAAAGGTCTCAGTTAGAGAGTGAATTGAAATGTGTAAAAATATATTTTGAAGGAAAGAAGTTAATAGATTTACTTACCCCTCTTTGATAGCTATAACCGTATGCGCCAAACTCGAAAATGCCTTTGATTGACATAATAAGAGACAAAGCAATACAGTCATTTGCTGGCATACCGTATAAAAAGGCAGGGAGAGTGGTGAGAACAAATTTGACGACAAAGGAGACAAACACGATGATAGAAACACTCTTGATATCTATCCAAGACTGTAATATCGAAGTATCGATCTCTTCGGCTGAGGTAGCAACGAAGAATGGAAGGAATGTGCCGAAAACAACAGACTCGAACTTCTGAACGATTGCAGAGCCCAAAGGTGGACCGTGTGGAACAGCTAAGCCTAATATAAAAGGTCCTATGAAAATAGATTGTTTGCACCAGTCTGCAAGAATGGCTGATCCAAAGACAAGAATGATGATTGCGTATATATAGAACTTCTTTACGGGACGACCAGAAGGCGTTCTCTTGACAATGAAGAACATCAATGGCCTGAAAATGTATATGGCAAAACAGATAAAGGACACCACTGTGAGTGCACGCTTCAAAGGACGGTTTCCAACAACAACATCTCCGATGAAAACGGATCCAAGCCGAGTTTTCTCGTCCTTGAGTTCCTTTAAAAAGACTATAACCGCTGAGAGAATCGAGGAGCTGAAGTCACTGATCACTGCTGAAGACATGGCAAGACGGCCAAGCTCTGAATTCTGGAGCCCAAGCTCGAAAAGAAGGTTTCCAATGACAGGAAACGACGAAAGGCATTGGATCAAATAGATTAAGATGACTTCAAAGAAATCCAGACTTGGTTCTCCTTTTTTCGTCCCTACATCTCTTATGATGTAGTAGAAGATAAAGGCGCAAACCATTATCGAGAGTAACACCGAAGAAAGACCGATAGCTATAGCTTTTCTCCCTGTGCTGCGGATCAGACCCAAGTCCATTTTGACTCCCATCAAGAACCAAAACATCATGTAGGAACACGCACCCACGAGACCAAACATACTCTCTTTGTAGTCTTCTGACGAGAAGAAATTTCTAGCTGCTGTATTCTCCTTCAGAAATGACTTGCTTAGGAGAATCCCTGTCTGCAAAACAGACAGAATTAAACGAAGAAAACCCGAAAAATAACTTAAAACACAAACATATAGACTTTGGTCAAGTTTTGAGTCATTCAAATATCAAACATATGCAATGAAAAACTAAGGAAAGGGAAGATTTGAAGATTCAAGGATTGAGTCAAGTTCTTACAAGCATATGGGAGGTGAAACGAATCATGCCGAGACGCTTGAGGAAGAAATGGAAGAATTGCCAGAGAACGGTAACAATGAGGAAAATAATATGAACATGTGGAAACATGTAATTCCAGAACTCAATGTTCGCCTTAGGATCATCGAGCTTCGGGGATGGCCACAGCCCGGTCGAGCTCGGGTTAATAGGCAAAACACCGCAGATCATGTTTGCATCTCTCCATGTATCTCTCAGGTACAAGTTCCTATCATCTCCAAACTCCATTGAACAAAACTTTTTTTTAACAAGAACAATGATGATAGAAACAAGATGATTATGAATTGTAAAAAAATCGAATGAAGAGCTATATCTGTTCTAAAAGAAGGTTTAGGTAACAGAATTGGAGAGAAGCAGTGAAACAAACAAAACATCTGGGTTTTGTCATAAAAAGACAACAACTCTCTAAAAATAGTCAATCCTGTGGCAAATAGAGACGGCGACATAGTTTTTACAGGTTTCTGGTTCTGTTAGTTTTTTAACAGCTTGTTAAGTGTTAATTTGATCATTCTCATCACTTTAACAGACAAATGAATACAATATAATTTCAAGGAAATATAATAATTTGAAGATCATAGTTAATATTCAGATTCCAAAATTAACTTAGAATATAGCAAAAATACAAAATGCAGCAAAGATCTACAAGAAAAACTTAAAACTTCACAAACTGGCCTCTCTCTTTTCCCTTTCTCTATGTTCCTGCAACCTCAAAACACCAAACACAATGCAACGGTGTATCAGCGTCTACGTTTGCGACTAAACCTTAAACGAAAAACTACATTCAACAGCCAATATTCTTGTTGAGGATTCAGAATATGGGTTTAACTACCTATTTCCAGGTGAATTAAGAGAACACTAACGTCTCTTTCCATTTATGAAAAACATAGTTGCCTGATCATGGAGAATCAAGAAATACCTTGGCATGCAGTAGGAGTCTTGAATCATTGAAGGTTTAGTTGGCGACAACATTGATCTTAACTCGAGCAGTGACATCTGGGTGAAGTTTGAGTTCCGCAATGTACTCTCCGGTTTCACGGATTTCTGGGAGAGAGACAAGGCGTTTGTCTATGTCCCTGCAAAATCCAGTCACAGGGAAGCAGAGGAAACTAAATTAGGTTCTTCGTAGAACAGTAAAAACCAAATGCAGAATGATACAATGAAACCGCAAGAAAAAGCTTGCAAGTTTTTTTGTGTTATGTTACCTTTGAAGCTGTGATTTGATGATGTCAACGAGGTCCTGTGCTGTGACACTGCAGGAAAATTTAAAGTTAAAGTAGAGGCTATACATGATTCCCAAGACAATTAAAATCAGGATTTGCTTGAACAAGACTTACGATCCAAATATCAGTTTTCCTTTACCGCCTTTACGTTTAATCTTGAACGCCCCAACGGTTTGAAATACCATGGCTAGTTGTTGCGCCTCTTCTTTCACCTGCAAAGAGGTTCCACGCAAAGTGAAAAAACAACACACAAAATTCTCAGATTAAACTCAATAATTACATAATAGAGCTTTCTGGTGATCACTCAAACACCAAACTTAACATGATGAGCAAATAAAACAATCAACTTATTCATCTCAGATTACCCTTTGCTTTTCTGCCTCTATCCGTTCGTCTTCCATCTTCAATTCCCTGCAAACAATAACCAACACGAAAAACAGGAAATGCATCATCTCTTGTTGATCTTCCAACAGTATAGCAAACTCTCTCAAAAGACAAGGCCTTAGAAACCGGATAGTAAGATAGACTTCGCTATGCGAATGGATGTTGGAAAGCTGAAGTGACTTAAGAGTTAAGATTACTTGAGCAGAAGTGGAGTCATAAGCTGAGCCTTTCCAGTGGGCAAAAGAAAGTTTCTGAAAAATCCGGCTTTCACGTCCAGTAATTGCCCTTGCTTTCCCAAGTCTGTCACGTCCTCTTTCAAGACCACCTTAAAGAAACAAAACCAAGATTACCAATTGTGTTTCATTCACTCCACTTCTTCACACATAAACAAAGCTTCAACCCAATATCTCATTACTATCTCTAAGCTAAATTGGTAATACAAAGTTGTCTTCATTGAAACTCAAATCACCATTTCCTCGCATTCCAATTTCATAACAGAACATTCAGATGATCTACATTTGAATGAACAACTGAGCTAACTTCTATAATTTTGATTCTATACACTAAACATGAACAAAGACTGTCTTTTTTGCATTAAGCCCATAAATTAAGCTCCTTTAAGTTTTGCTTTCACCTCCATCAAAATTCTCAGAACCCACAAGCTCAAATCAAAAAGTAACTAAAACCCAAATCGAATTCTTCAAGGAAACTCATGAAAGGTAATAACTTTATACCGTTCGAAGTTTCTTTGCTTTCTTCTGGGAAACAACTTCAAAATTGAACCTACGCTCTGATACTTTTAGGGTTTCATTTGCGACGTTACTGAAGCTGTGACCCCAACAAGGCGAGGAGCTCCATGAGAGAGACAAAGCTGTTGATGAAGCCATTGCCAAAAGCTGATTTCAGTTCCGAGCAGAGATAAGAGCGCAGTGTAGTGTTATCTTCTTCTTATCAGCTTTCGTGTGCTTTTGCTCCGTATCAAGGTGAAGTGATGAATATTTTTCTTATGTTTCCAGTTTGACCCCTTAATTATTCTTCTTTTTCGTTTTCTTCCTTCAAGTTTATAAAGGATAGATTTTGTACCCAACATTGGCTAAATAATTTTGAAAGACTAGAGAGATGTAGCCATGTAGGCCTCTTTAGTATCAAAAAGTTCAAAATTTGGGGCTTGTTACAGTATGACACAAGTGTAGATGTAAACTGCTAAAAGTATCTCTGGATTTTGATTTACAATGTTTGTATGATGATTGTACATATATACAACATATCTATTCGATTTCAGAGTGGACATAATCTCTAAACACAAAGTTCTTCTCTTGTTCATGTAAAGCATATGCAGAAGCAGCTGAAATCAGGGATAAACCAGCCAGAATCAGCCGAATTTGAACATCAGAAGGAACACCAGCTGTGGCGGCCCAGAAAACCGTCGCGCCAACAAGAAACTTCTTGAGGACTTGGAAACCGTTGTAAGCTCCTTTGCATGAGGAACAGACTTGTGTATGCTGCTCAAATCTATCCAGCATCTGTTTGTTCAAATTACCGCATTTTCAGTCATGTGTGATTGTATATATAGAGATCAAATAATGTTAGGACGCATGATTGATGGCTCACCTGGCGTTTTGTTAAGACAGTGGAAGGGAGAGGTTGGTTAGACTTGTTTGAGCCGAACCATTCAGGCTGACTCTTGCCATGCCGTCTGAGCCAGTTTCTGAAGGCTAGAACGAAACGGTCAGCTTGAGTTGGAGTGAATGTGAGCTTTGTGTACTGTTTGTTCACGTCGTAGTCCGGTGACTCCATTGCTTTAGAGAGGAATACTTTCTCTTGCCCCTGAAGTACAATCATGTCTCCGTCGTAGACTAAGTTTGAAGTCCAGTGTTCATACCATCTTGGTACAACCTAACAAGGAGCAGTGTCAGAAGCAAACTTATGCAGGTAAAATCGGAATAAGAGACGGAATACAAATTTGTTTTACCTGCCACCAAGCAGGTCCTGGTACAGAGAATTGGAAGAAGTTACGGGCGCTGCAAACAATGGAGCGGGTTTTTCCAGGAGCCATTGGTATATTGAATGAGCAAATCCAAATTACCCACTTTTGATTACCGACGATTGGTAGCTTTGCATCTAGCTCAATCCTATAGACAAACGTACACAGCCGCATTAAGTATGAAATTGTCACCTAGCTATTTATTATGAATTTTTGAGGAAACTCAAGACTCACTTGTTCATAGAATAGCAAGGAGCAACAAACTTTGCAGTTATCCTTGGCTTGTCATCATTGGCACCTTGGAAACCCCAAGGCCCACTTGACTCCATTTTGAACGGCAATGGTTTAGCTCTGTCTCTTCTTCCGGTAACCTGTTTACAACACGAAATCATCAGCTAAGGATAAATTTCCTTAGCAAAAACTAAAACACATTGGGAGCTTTGAACAAGAAAAACACCTTGTGATGAGCAAAATCTATATGGGAAGGATCAGATACATTTTCCATGAGGGTATCATATCCATAGAAAAGATCCCTTTGAATTGTCACCGTTGAAAATTCCGGTTTATCAAAATCATCTGGCAACCTAAAACAATATAGATCAAAGCATTTACTTTATCATAAGTCTGGCAATAAAACCAATACGCTATGTTCAAGGTAATAAGATAAATAGTTTCGCTTGTTACCTAGGGGGTTCAATTGAATTAGCTCTGTCCCAGCCATTTTCATCAGGCCACACAAAGAGAAGACCTTGAGACACCATTGTCGGAAACTTAATAGCGCAAGCTCTCGGCGATTTTACAGCACGAGCTTCAGGACCAGAAGAAGCAGCCTGAGGAATCCTAGTACAAGATCCACACCCACTAAAGGACCATCCATGATACGAACATTGCAAATGTCCATTCTCATCCAACCTCCCTTCCTACATAAACCACAATGCGTCAACACATTACACATCTACTTCTACATATCATGCAAAGGTCCTGAAACTATTAAAGCTCAAAACTTCTGTTACCACTTATAGAAAGCTTCAAACTTAGCAAAAGTCTACACATAACAGTTCTGATGCTGATCCTAATATTATATTCTAAACTTGTTCTGAAGCTGACCTAAGTTTAAAATACTTTACAATAAACAATCATATCCAATACTTTATTCTTCTAATCCAAATCACTACACCAAATTAAACCACTTGTTCCAAGAGAGTGAGAGATTACAGATAGAGGAGCGAGCCGGTGAGGGCAGAGGTCATCAAAGGCAGTCCATTTCTGATCATTCCGATCAAACCAGAGGACAAGGTCTCGACCCAAGAGCTGAAACGGGGTTGGCACATTCGGATCCAAATCCTCAACCAAAGAAACTGGATACCAATGATCTCTCCACTTGAACTCAGACCCTTCCTCTTCCTTCTCTCCACCGAACTCTTCTTCGATCCACTTCTCCTCCGCCGGATCCGAAGTGGGTATAGACGGCGGCGCCGCCACGCGTAATGGGTTGTTGAAAAGTTTCGACCTTGATGGAGAAAACGAGACCTTGAATGGAGATTTTGCGGAATTGGGAGATAAAAAGGGAATCTTTTTGGATTGGGATTTGGTGATTGTTGCAGAAGTAGAAGAGAGTAAAACTACTGACATTTCTCTAACTTGTATTAGAGATTTTGATATTGTTTGTTTACTCGTTTTGATGAATCTATATGAAGCTTCTGAAATAAGCGAGAAGAATGAAGAGGAAGAAGAAGAAGAGCTTGCGTGCAAGTATGCAATAATGTCGCGTGGCTATCGATACCATTTGTTTTGTAACGAGAAACTGTGAACAAATGGGTTTAACACGTGGAGAATTTTGGCACATTGCAAAATAAGAACGTTGATCGTTCAATGGCACATAGATTTTGGCATCTACAATTTTGTTTGCAATGAAAAATACCAAAAAATCAACTAAATTTACATTTTTTGTTTTAGAGTACATTAAAATCTATATATGATCTATTTTGCTTTATAAAAAAAAACTATAATCTATATCAATCTATAATTATTTTTTCAATTATTATATAAGATTTTATTAAATTTAGGAAATCCCTACTATAGTAAAAGAGAAGTACAAAAGTACTTCCGGGTCGGGTTAAAAACAGAAAAATAACCCGAAATTAAAATGATCGATACTTAATTTTTGGACTAAAATTTGGATATGGACATTAACTATTAAAAAAAAATCAATTACTAAAAATTCCCCTTATTTAGGAAACTATAATAATGATACATGCATATTTTAGAAATCTAAATTAATTGTGTATAATTAAATATAAATGGTGAATAACAATTGCACATTTTAAGGTAATTACGTTTCTCATCACCTAAAAAAGATCTTAATATTTAGATAATATTCTAATTACCAAATAAGTTTGTAATCTTTGATATAATGGTTAATCATTTGGAAATATGATTAA